GAGAGAGAGAGAAGAGTATGGAAAAATGACGGAAAGATATGGAAAAGATGCGGAAGTAGTACGTAAGTGATGCATAAGTTTTTCCTATACAGAACATTTCGATTTCTATGATTTGAAAACTATAGACACCTATAACGTTATATAACGGCTATAGGCCGTTATATAACTAAACGTAGATTTTACGGTGAAGAATTTTCTGTTATAAACCTTTCGATGTATTCCACATAGAATACTATTGACAGCTCATAGTAAATGCATCATAAAAATTTATACGAGGAATTGAATAACAATCGAATTCCAAGTTGTTCAGACAAGCGTGCGATATAGCTCAGAGTTAGGTTATTATTCCATAGATCTTAAGTTCAAATCCCATCGACATATTTTTTAAAAATATATGTATAAATGTACGGTATATTTCATGCAAAGTGAATATATGAAATGAATATATGAGGATAAAAAGTATTTTATCTTTTATTTTTTATATTTACACCACATTTGCATTTAATAAATAGGTGTACGATAGGAAGTGATATAGAAAGATGAAAAGAAACGATAATGTAATAACAATAATTATGAAAGGAAATGAAGAATTAGTTATAGAATTATAATATTCTTTTGTTAATTTAATTCATAATTACGATTAAAAACATAAACCGTAACTATTTCTTATCAGTTTCTATCGATTTTTTAAAATAAAGATTCCATCATTTTTTAATATTGCAGATTATAACAAATTATTCATTTAACACTGTAGCATACGATAACATCTGATACGTCAAATCTGAAAGTGTATGATAACATTTCAATATAAAATATAGAGCATTTCGTGAAATCACGAATCAAATGTCCTGCATAAAATGATAAAATAGTTGTTTTTTTTTTTCCACCGGATTTTATTTTTTTGTAAAGAATCAGAAATTATTACTAATGCAAAAGTAATGCAAAAAATGTTGCATTGTCGATTTCTTATAATCTAGTAAAAATAAAAAACTGGGAATAGTCCTAGATGCGAATAAAATAAGTCAGACATAAAAAAAATAAGGTGTCTCAATCGGGCATAATTCCAATTGGAATTACACACAAGTTGAAATGGACACATCGTGGTTTCACTGTTTATCTCAATTCTTTCTAACTTACATCTGTACTGTTAGTAGAGCTTCGCCTTTATTCTTCACAATTTTTTATTTCTTATGTAGGTAATGCTGCGAATTAATTTTTAAGATAAATTTCTATCCGATAAATTTTAGTTAAAGAATGACTCGCTGCTCGTGCAAATCAAGTGTAGGATGACCGCGAAGGCTATGCATATCATAGACCAAACAGTGAGTGTCATTTAACAATAAGGAGAACAAGATAGATTGCCTTTAACGCTCAGTAGGGGAATAAATACGGTGAGTTCGTCGCGCGTGGCTTACGAAGTAACTACTTGACTACTTGACTTTAGGCTTGCCTTTTTCAACTTGAAAATAGCTTCCTTTAAAATGTCACCGTTATCGAGTATAATTTGCTGTATACAATTTCGGCATATATGCCGAGAGTTCTCGCGAATACTAAGAAACTAATATGGAACTTTGAAGCTAACAAATTATTGGTTAAATGCAAATACCTTTTGCAAATACGATTGCAAACTTATACATTGCCATAGTAACGATTACACTTTAATGGTAATAAATGGGTAAATACACAATATGGATAAATTCGTACGATAATAAGCAGAATTGAGTAGTAACTAATTAATAAATTAATAATTAAATAAAAAGAGTTAAAGGGTTTATTTTTAACTTAGTATAATTGACTAGTTTTATATGAGTCAATTTTTAACTTAATGTAATTACTTTTTAATTTTAATTTATTAATTGTTTTTATGTTAAAGTTTTTTTATCTTTTTAAATGCCTATATTAATTTCTATAAAATCTTAAATATTAAAGAATTAATTTAGAAGAAGCTT